ATATGTTGGGTCAAATTTGTGTGGAGGTTGAAAAATACAGGGGGAGTCTTTATGGCCCAAAATAGTGATTTTAGTAATGTAATTCGACAGGCCTCATGTTTTTGTGGAAAGCTAGATAGTCGTTATGTACCCGACAGTCGGCTACCTTTATATTTTCACTTTTTTCAGTTTGCATTCAAAAGGTACATTGCTGCACCGCCAACTGTCGGGGATATAGTACCTTCATATGACTACTCATACGTATACAACAGAAAAAAACGTCGCATGGACCATGGAGGTATAAAAATAGATTTTTTCTATTTTTATACCTCCATGCATGGACTTTAACTAAATGAAAAAACGATGTATTTTAGCAAGTATTAAAACATTTTAGTTTTATTTTAGGCCTTCTTCAAAATACCTATGCCTACAGCAGTTGATTTTTTTTGCCGTAAAACCAAAATAGTTTCATCCATGCCGACTTTCCGGTCGGTTAGCGCGAGTCCTGACTGAACTCTGCAGAAACTTCACATCGATCTTCCCATCGCGATGTAAAACAAAATGTCGGAAAACTTTTCTTTGACGCATGCGCATTTGCATAAATGTCTACACACACACACACTACACACAATAAAAAACAAAAGAAATGTGATTAAGAGTGATTACAATAGTTCCTATTGCATTACATGCATAGGAACTAATAAAAACAATGGACTTTACTCACTGTAACGGAATCGCCTCGGGGATCCAACCTGTCAAAATATGGATAATAGTAATATCACCAAGCTCCGAGTTACTGCTGCCCCCATGGTAACTGAAAATAATACAATAAACAGCAGAATTAAAGGTTGGTAGAACCATTAAAGGTTGGTAGAAATGTATGATTTGGTGACTTATGATAGGAATGAGTTTCGAAAATTGTGTTTACAATGCTACAAAACAACATAATAATATAAAAATACAATTGACAAGAAACTTAAAATTTATTCTCAACAAAATCAAACAAATGTTTCATGTTTTCACAGCTGTTAAAAAAAGGATTTATCCACAATATGCCTTTCAGTATTTAAATCTGTTTACAAAATTCTTAATGTTTTAATCACAATATGCTTTTCAATATTTAAACAGGTTTCAAAATAGTTGCTACATCTACAACTTAGTTTCTCAGTATTTAGATGTGCTTACAGGGCTCGAAATTCACGCTAGCAAACTAGCAATTTGCTAGTAGGTTTGTCATAACTAGGTAAAAATTCACAAACCAGCAAATTAAAAAAAATGATTGCTAGTTGAAATATCTATACAAAATATCTTGTAATTAGCCTAGTATTAACTAAAACTAGACCAAACTGATCTACAAAAACTAATACAAATTTTATTAAATTTATTTATTTATTTTTTAATTATGAAAATCGACTAAAAATGCCTATAATCGACGAAAAACTATGAGCACAAGATGTGAAGTGCGCCACCAACATTAATTTTTTTAAACCTTACATTGCTTGCATGCATGCAACAAGCTAAGTAAGCAGTGTGCAGAAAAAAAAATCGTTCACATGGGTTTGTTGACGGAAGTCACGGGCGATGCAATCGGTAGTTAATTAAAGCGAACATATTTAATTTGGTTCTTTTTAGATAATAAACAATGTTTCAGATATTATAATAATAATTTACTATGAAGCTTAGACAAATAATAGGTTACAACCTAGGCTTCAATTGGCAGATGTT